CCTTTCTTAAATGCACAGGATTAAATCTGGCCCTGGTCTCCAAATTAAGCTATAACATTGAGAGATTTTAATTAGAAAATATCCCTTAAGATTTATTCTTAAAGCAAAGATCAGACCAGGGATGTGGCCTCCCACCTATTGTTTCTGATGACCTCCAGCTAGTTTCCATCAAGTTGATGGGTAGGGATTGGTTGAGGAAGCACAGAAAAAAAATTAGATCTGAGAATTTTATTAAGAATAACTTTTTAATTATAGTTTCTAACATGTAAGATCAGAAAGCAAATAGATAAGAGTCTACTAAGTTTTTGAAGAATTATATTTCCAAGGAAACCATAAACCATGAGATTCATATCTTTGCCAATACTTCGAATTATCAGATTTTTACAATTTTACTAATTCCGTGGTAGAAAGTTATTGAGATTTAAACATGTACTTTCCTGAGTACTGATGAAGTGCTGAATCTAATTTTTGGCTATTCCTGTTTCCCTTTGTGCTGATTTTTAAAATGTTTGTCACTAAAAAAATGTTCTTAAAATTGATTTTCAGTAGTTCTTCATATATTCTGCATACTATCTTTTCCCAGGTATATGTGTTGTAAATAGCTTCTCCCAGTTCGTGCATTGATAGTTTATGTGTCAACAGAGTCAAATTTATGCATTTTTCCTTTTATAATTCAATGTATCATGTATCTTGTTGAAGAAAACCTCCTTTCCTCAATGTCATAAAGATATTGTCTGCTTTCATTTTGAAAGTCTTCATTTTCACATTTAAGTCTCTAAGTCCCTTGGAATTTGTTTTTGCTTATGGATGGAGGTAAAGATCTGATTTCATTTCTTTTCGTATGATCTTCTGACATCTATCAAGTTCTCATATATGTGCAGGTCTGTTTGGGGCTGTTTTATTTTCTATTTGTCTATTGTATTGTGCCAACACCACACTCTATTAACCACAGTGACTTTGTAATAAATCTTAACATTTGGTACAGCAAACCTCTTCTGCATTGTTCTGCTTCTCCAGGAATGTCTTGGCTATTGTTGGCCCTTGATTTTTTAGTGTATATTTTAAAAGCAGCTTATCAATCTCAATATATTAGTACAATCCATTTTTTTATTGGAACTGTATTAAATTTTCGATTGGTTGGAAGGGTCATTGCTTTGTGATATTGAATCTTACTATCCACAAACATGTTATAATATTTATTTATTTGTATCTTGATACTTTTTTGAACATATTTTGTTAAATGTAGTTTATCTGTAGAGAGGCCATTGTATTGATGGTTACAGATGGGGATGCTAAGACCAAGTCTGCTTTCATTTTGAAAGTCTTCATTTTCACATTTAAGTCTCTAAGTCCCTTGGAATTTGTTTTTGCTTATGGATGGAGGTAAAGATCTGATTTCATTTCTTTAATTATAGTTTCTAGCAATTAATGGGTTTATCTTAAATGTGTTAATGTAGACAGTGACAGAACTCTAACCCACTTTCTAATCTATGCCTTTTTTCCTTCACCCCATTCTGCCTCATTTAATCTGAAACATGCACTTTGGAGACAGCATGGATCACATCACATCTGACAAGCCATAATTGCAAGTCCCAGTCCCATCCAGATATGTTATACTTGGTTTACTCCTTGGGTGAGCCCCCTGCCCCCAAGTCTCCTGCCTCCACATGGGAAATGTTCTAGTTTATAGGGCATTAAGAGCATGGACATAAGAGCATGCTCATTTTATGAAAGACCATGTGCAAGGTTGGGAAATTGATAGCAGCACAATTCACAATTGCTAGACTGTGGAACCAACCCAGATGCCCTTCAATAGATGAATGGATAAAAAAAATGTGGCATTTATACACCATGGAGTATTACGCAGCACTAAAAAATGACAAAATCATAGAATTTGCAGGGAAATGGATGGCACTAGAGCAGATTATGCTTAGTGAAGCTAGCCAATCCCTAAAAAACAAATACCAAATGTCTTCTTTGATATAAGGAGAGCAACTAAGAACAGAGCAGGGAGGAAGAGCAGGAAGAAAAGATTAACATTAAACAGATACATGAGGTGGGATGGAAAGGGAGAGAAAAGGGAAATTGCATGGTAATGGAGGGAGACCCTCATTGTTATACAAAATTACATATAAGAGGTTGTGAGGGGAATGGGAAAATAAACAAGGAGAGATATGAATTACAGTGGATGGGGTAGAGAGAGAAGATGGGAGGGGAGGGAGGGGGGATGGTAGAGGATAGGAAAGGTAGCAGAATACAACAGTTACTAATAGTGCATTATGTAAAAATGTGGATGTGTAACCGATGTGATTCTGCAATCTGTATTTGGGGTAAAATTGGGAGTTCATAACCTACTTGAATCTAATGTATGAAATATGATATGTGAAGAGCTTTATAATGTTTTGAACAACCAATAAAAAAAAATTAAAAAAAAAAAATAACAAAAAAAAAAAAAAAAAGAAAACTTAAAAAAAAAAAAAAAAAAAAAAAAAAGGTTGGGAAATTGATCCACCTATCACCCTTTACACTTGTTTGGGGGAACGTCTCGAGATCATTTATGAACCAGTTTTGCTTTTTCTTTCAGTCCGCCTTTGAGCGGGAGAAAATAGACATTATTTGTCAGCAAGAAGAATGGTTCCTACATGAAGGATGGCTTGAATTTTGCAGCCAGTGTTTACAAAGTGAGCTGCTGTTCACACTAATCATTGCTAATGTCCTCTTGTTGATGAGCAATAATCCTGGCATGCCAGCACCACTGGAGTTCCTGTTTACTGGCCAACTCCAGTGCTGCTTGGCTGTTATGACAGATAGCAAATCAAGTGAGATCCATTTGTGAAGAAGACACAGAAAACATATGATCTTTTGAGAATACCAGCTGGCCTCATTCCAGAAGGAGGTCACTAATGGTCTTAAAGGATAGAGACAATGAAAAATAGGTGTAACAGAGATGCACAATTACATTAAAGAGTAAAAACTGTAGCATTTCTACCTCCAGGGAGGGCAATGACATAGTGTATTTCAATGGAAAAAAAATCTCTAACCTTCAGTACTGAAGGTCGGGGGAGTCTAACAGTGCAGGGACTGGAAGATGTAGTAAAAGGGAGTCAGGGGGAACTCTGGAGAGAGACAGGACCTCAACCATAGTGAGGAGAGGATTGCTGACAAAGAGGGGCAAGTAGCTGGCAGCATGTGGAAACTTTCTGTCACCCCAAACCTCCAGAAGCATCAACTCTTCACTCTTTTGAGTTGTCAACTCATGGAAAACAAGGTGGGCTCCAAACTCCGAAGCCACAGGAGTGTAGGGAGTAGAAAGCTGGAGAAGGGGAGTCAGTGAGGTTGTGTGCTCAGAGGGGCGGGCAGGGAGGAGCAGGCTAGCCTGCTGGGATTGTAGAAATCACAGGACAGGGGCTTAAATGAATTTAATTATCTAAAAGTATAGGGGGACCTAGCTGTTTCAGCAAAGTTGGCCCTAAACATACCAGTCATGAGATTTTAAATATATCCAAATAAAAACTTCCGAAAATGAGACAGGGTGGTGCTCTGAAGGCAACAGGAGAGTACCATAGAGGAAAGGCCATGCCAAAGACCTTGAGCTTGGATGTTTAATCAAAAGCAGTTTTCTTTTTTTTTTTCTTTTAGCCATTCACCATTTCTATTTCTATAATGTTCTTCCTCCTGGGAGGCATCCTAGCCTGATTTAGGCAAGAAAGCATGAGCTCTCTGGTCAATCATGTACATTCCTGGTCATGTCACATGCTACCCATAGAAACAAGCTTAACCTTTCAATCTTTTATCTGGAAAAGACAATCAATAAGACCACCTCCAGTGGTTTGTAGGGAGTAAAGGAGATAATGCACTTCACCTAGTGAAGTGGCTAAGAGTGAAGTGGCTCTCCCTGTCCCTCTGACCTGTGTGTCTGTGTTGCTGGGACACAAGGTCCTAGACTGCCAGCTGCCTGTAGTCAGGAACTTTTCTATGGCCTCATTTGTCATTCCCATTTCTTTGTACCACTCCTGGATGCAGAGCACTGCAGAACTAACTGAACTTCAGAGAAGAACATGAAGACTTACATCTCTACTCATTCTCCTAGGGAAAGAGACACAGATCACCAGTGTCCAGTGACCCTTGTGAATCCTCTTGGTTGGCCCACATCACATGAGAATAAGGAGCTTCTAGGGGAATGCAATAAGCTCCATCTTGGTCCAGTGCAGGTGGGTTAACTCCATGTCTGAAAAGAAGAGAACTTATAGGGGGCCAAGTTGAGCCCCTCATTTTAATATCTTGAAGACCAGAGACGTTGCATGACTTAGCAACTATCACATTATAACAAACATAAAACCAGCAGCCCTTTTTACTCTTTCTGGCCTGTTAGTTTGCTGTGTTTTCTCCAAGGTGGTACCTGAGTCAGGCCCAGGAAACTTGCTTGGGAAGCAGAGCCAGCCTCTAGGTCTCAGAGCTATTTCTTAGGAGGTGTTGCATATCCAGGTTCACAAACAAATTTGGGAAGGGTCCTAGCGGGCCATCTCAGGTGCAGACTAGTTTTAAGTTGGTGTGTTGGGGCAGCGAGGAAAACATGTGGACCATTCCTTAGCTGGCTTGGAGCCCAGGATCATTCTTGGACAGATGGCAGATTTACTCATCTCTAAATCCAACAGAAAGGCCCAACCTCATGTTTGCTAAATGCATGGTGTCTCTCATTCCTGCATCCTCCAGGGTGCTCCCTGCCTAACCTGAGATTAGAGAGACTCTCAATCTTGGCCCAAAGACTGCTTCTCCCGGTTTTCAGGGGGCCGAGTGGGGAAGACAGTGCCTCCCAGAGACAGCGTTTGGTGGGTTTGATCTGTGAGATAGGTCCTGATATAATTGTGCAGGCTTGTATAAAACCATTCAGGAAACCCCAGCTCATGTTTGTATACCCAGGAAACCCCAGCTCATGTTTGCTAGAGGAAAACCTTTTCAGGGGCAAAATTAGTCACAAACTGGGCGATATGGAGACTTACCCGAGCAGTTAGAAATCACCATCTCCTGGGCTTTGCTTTTAATCCAAATAGTTCGGATCACAATGCCATAGATGATGCTGAAAGGACCAGAGGGAATATTAAAATACCTAGTGGGTCCCTCCTGTTAGGACAAACAGGGTGACTATTACCACTTTCCTGATGATGAGCTCTCAAGCAACCTGCTTGCCACACTTGCTGAAACAGGGAGAACCATAAAAGGTCAGTGGAATGGAGCTGCTTGTATTTTAAGTGAGGAGGTCAGGACCTGGGGAAGTCAAACAATCCAGGTGCTTTGAGGGACAGCTGTGATGAGACTCCAAACACCAGCTTTGCTGTCAGAAAGAACTGGGTCTCCCCTATCATGTACTGGCTGTATGACCTTGACTGTGAACAATTTAGGTGGCCTCTGTGCACTTGCCTCTGCTACTGATGCCTTTGCGAGACCCTCTTCCTTGCATTTGGACAGGACCTGCAACTTGCTTCTGATCAACCCAGTGTGCTGCATGTGATTACATAGGGTGAAGCACCTGCCTTGCTGTGCCTGTCTCCTTTGCTGGCTTTAAAGAAGCAAGCTACTGAGAATCCTGCTGCCCCAGTGAAATTCATTCTGCTAAAAGCCAGAGGGAACTTGGAAAAGAGCTTTCTCCTGCTGACCCTCTGATGACCCCCGAGTCCTAGTTAGCACCCGATGACAGCCTTGCCTAAGCAGGGACCCTGTTAAGCCTTGCCCAGACCCTTCACCCACAAAAACTATAGATAACAACGACATTATTTTAAAGTCAGTAGGTTTGTGATGATTTGTTCCCATAGTAGTAGATAATACACTAAACTTCAGTTGAAAGTTTGTAAAATGGGGTTAATGATACAAACATCTGAGGAACATATATATATATATATATATATATATATATATATATATATATATAGTGTTTGTGTATACACATATATAATATAAAGAATACACACACACACACACACACACCCTCTGAGGTTTTTTTTTTTGAGTATAAGAACATTTTTCTATAACTTTTTTAACATTAAATTTGTCAAAGGATGATATTACAGTTTACATACAGTTCTTGGATGTGGTCACATAATTCCTTAATTTAAAATGTACACTTATTTTTTGACATATCATACATTTGAATCAGATGGGATATAATTTCTCATTTTTCTGAGTGTACAGGTTGCAGAATTACATTGGTCATGCAGTCACGTATATAACCACAGCAATAATAATGTCTATTTTATTCTGCTGTCCTTCACACACACACACCCTCTGAGTTTTTTGAGTGTCAAATATGATAGTACTTAAAGTGCCAAGCACCATTTAGTAACTTGAAAAATCAGTAGAGTCTTGAAAATGTAATTTCTCCATTTTTAGGTTTTTTTTTTGCCTGTTTTTCACATTATATCATTCACATTCTTGAATGATATCAACTGAGTCTAACAGAATATTAGTGATTAACACACATCATCAAAGTTTGCATTCTAAGTCTCCTTTGTTAAATATAAAACCTTAGACTCTTTTTAAATGTTATTTGACATTTCAAGTTTATTTAAGCACCTCAACTAAAAACTTTGAGAGAAAGCACTGCTTTATTTTAAAACTGCATCATCTTTCCTCTTGTGAATCACTAGTTCAAAAAAAGAAAAAGAAAGAAAGAAAGTAAAGAAATCAGAGCTCCAGTTTGTAGTAACTGACAAAGCACTAATTGCTTTTAATGATCTTGACTATAGCTTAATTAATGACTGTGCAATGATGGTTGGAGCACACCAGCCCTTACTGCCTCTCCCGCTTGCTCAGCAAGCTCCTCTGGGTGCTCCAGGAAAGCTCGGGACCTTTTTGGAGCTTCCTACTCCTTTTCATATTCCTTCCCAGGGACTTTTCTGGAATTTATGTGCCTACATTACAGAAAAAATGGGGAAAAACTTGTGAGTCTATTCTTTACCCGAAGCTGAGTGTTTCTTAGATCAGAGAAACTTGTTTCCGAGGTAAATGAAACTCAAGGTAAGGTTACAACTACCATGAGATGTTAATGGTGTCTGGCAATTAGAACCCTAGTATTTAATTGATCAGTAATTCAAACATTTATTGACCATCAACCCATATGCATAATAAAAAAGTTCAGGAAGGTCCTATGAGTTAGGGATTTTTCTTTTTCTACTTAGGACCAATCAGATAAGTGGAAAGGTAGGGCCAGCCTCACTGTTAGCCAGGCAAACACCTGGTTGCTAGGGTATCCCTTTCAGTTACTGCTCAAACCAAGCTATTTTCTTACAATGTAGCAGCCATGCATCACAGAGACACCTGCATAATTTTTGTCTTCTTCTTTCATAGCATTATTCCTTCATTTAACTAATCACCAAGTTTTTTTTTTTTGGGGGGGGTGGGGTTCCAGGAATTGAACTCAGGGGCACTTAACCACTGAGCCATATCCCCAACCATATTTTGAATTTTATTTAGAGACAGGGTCTCACTGAGTTGCTCAGTGCTTCACTTTTGCTGAGTCTGTCTTTGAACTCATGATCTTCCTGCCTCAGCCTCCTGAGCTGCTGGGATTACAGATGTATGCCATCATGCCTAGCCCTAATCACAAATTCTGTGGATTGTCCCTTAAAAAATGACTTAATCAAATACACATTTCTCTCTACCTCTCCTCTTCAGCATTAGGACAAATATTTGCAATCTATCTTTTTTCATTTTGATAACCTCTCTTATTGTGGTAAAATATACATAAAATTTATTATTTTAGTCATTTTTAATGGTGCAGTTCTACAGCCCTAGGAGCATTTACACTACTGTGCAACCATCATTACTACCCATCTCCAGAAAGTATCACCTTCCCCAGCTGAAACTGTCTCCATAAAACACATACACACAAAAATGAAATGTTTTGTGAATTTATGTTTCATCTTTGCACAGGAGCCAGGCTAATCTCTGCTTAATTCCAATTTCAGTATATGTGTTATCCAAGAAGTGCCCTGATAACTGCTTGCCTCATTATTGCCATATCTTCAATCATCCACACTATGTTGTCACCTCTAATGCCCATGCCACCATCAGAGCTGGAGGTGTAGGATAGAAGACCATTCTTTGGCTCAACCCTCTCCCTAACCCCCGTGGTTCCACTTTCCCAAGAGATGCTATCCAGTCTCTTTAATAGGGCATCCAATCTTTCCACAGCCTACCTGGGCCTTCCTCACCCTCACCATCATCACCTCCTACACCTCCACTCACTGTCTTTTGATATATCTTTTCCCAGGTTGGTCAATCAATGCAAGTAGGCCAACAGATGTACCCCGACTTCATGCTTTAGATGCAGTAGTCTGGATGAATGTGAGTTCCCGTTCTTCCCTTATCTCTGTGCCCACTTTATCCTCTACCTGGAACATATTTTCTTCCTTTTCAAACACATCCTTTACAAGTTACTCTTATATGAAAACTTCCTGAGCTGCCTTCCCATGATTATCGGCTTGCCCTTCCTTGGGGCCTCCATGGTAGGAGAACATTGGCTGCATGGAGTCTTGTCTATGGCAGTCAGGTATTAGAGATCAGCAGTTATGGAAGTAGACCATTCTTAGAACACAGCTAAGAAAAAGCATCTTTGTTACAACTTATTCCTTGTCTTTGGTCTATCTTTGCTTTCTCAATAGGCTTAGCTTTTCTGGAAACATCTTCGAAATCTGAAAACTGAAGGACTTCTCAGATTGAGGAAAGTGTCTCTTTCCTGAACTGGCTGGTTTAGTTCCTCATTTTAGAGGAGATAATCTAAACACAGAACTATTTTCCTTCATGTCATTCACAGAGGCAACCCATGGTAAGTGAGACAAGGCGAGATTCCAGGTTACCAGAGTGAGACTCAAGGACTCTAAGGAGGATGCCTGAGGATAGTTTCTGAGTTTGTCTTCTGGGTCATGTATGGTAAGCATTCAGGAAACAGAAAAAAATAGTTTGTTCTCCCACAGGACACAACGGGCATTGCTCCACTGAGATTACAAGGACTTGGCCCAGGGTTTGGACTTGTTGGATACCTCTTGCAGTCTTGAGCCATAGACCTTCAGAGTCAGAGAGGACCTAAGGCTCCCACTCTGCCAACCAGCTTTCCTGACCCTCATATTTGGGGCCTGACGATTATGTCCAGTTGTGCTCTTGAGATCTTGTTAGAAGCCACATGCCCCTCTGTTCTGCCCTTGTGTTTTGGAATAACTGGCCCAACACTTGACAAAAATGCCCTTTTAACTCTTCTACAAGCAGGTGCCTTAATGTGTCTCTCTCCTTCATAAATATTAATTTCACAATATTCATTTTGAACACCTGTTTGTCCCAGGCACTAGTGGAAACACCATGGAAACTATGGTTGGTAAAACAGACAAGGTGTTGGTCCCCTGGATGCCCACATTTTATTTGGGGAGCTAGACAATAATAAAATAATGTCACAAGTACTATGTGATTTCAAGGAATAAAATTCTATAAAGATAAAATGCTAGTGCTGCAATGGTATAAGAGGGGCCCTGAGTTATTCTGGGGGTTGAGGAAACCTTCCCAGAGAGGGTAAACTTTTAGCTAAGACCTGAAAGGTAAAAATGTTTTCCAAATGCAGAAGAGGGTGATCTCAGGTACAGCAAGCTGCATACCCAAAGGTTATGAGGCAGGAGAGAGTGTGGTGCACTTGAAGACCAATGTGGCTAGAAGTTGGAGAGAAAGCAGATTATGTGGTCTGAGATGCGGACAGAAAGTGAAGCAAGAAACAGATCATTCATGACCTTGTGCATTGGGTCGAAGGTTTTTTCTTTTTTCTTTTGGTACCTGGGACTGAACCCAGGGATGCTTAACCACTGAGCAACACCCCCATGCCTTTTTATACTTTGAGAGAGGGTCTTGCTAAGTTGCGTAAGGCCTTGCTAAGTTGGTGAGGCTGGCTCTGAACTTGTGATCCTCCTGCCTCAGCCTCCTAAGCTGCTGGGATTACAGGTGTGTGCCACTGCATCATGGGAAGTTAAAATTTTGATGATTCTGAGACAATAGAAACCTACTGAAGGACTTTTAGGAGGAAAGTGAAATGATTGATCAACT